GGGGCTTAGGCAAGGAAGAAGCCCCTGCCGTTTGGCCGTCCCCGGATGCTGCAGCCTGGCCAGCCTTACTGCATCCTCTACCAGGAGGGATTCATCAGCGCCTATAGCCACAGAGCTCTGATGCCCCTGTGGAGCTCCTTCACCATCGACAAGCCAGTAAGCGTGTCTGCAGTGGTGGAGAACACTGGGGAGAAAACGGTTTATGAGGAGTGTGACAGAGCTTTCTACAATATATTTTACACAATTTCAAATTCATCCAACTTCTCATTGCTGATCTGTGGCAGTTTAGGTTTACACTGGTGTTGAAGCACCGTCTATTCGTAACAGTCCACAAATGCGCAGACTTGATGTTTGCACCTTTCAAAAACAGGGAAGTGAAAGAATTAAAGAAAGAAGGCAAAGGAAGTGTTTTAACAGCAGTTATAACATTTTAAAAATTACATTAAATAGTGTAATATAAAGAGTACCACAAATCACCCACTAATCCTCATGGAGCTTAATTTTCCATAGTTTTCTGGGTGAGTTCTTTGATACAAAGTAGATCCAGTGAGAGCAGACTCAGCCACAGAGACTGGATCTTGGTCCATAAAACGATCAACAATGACTAAATAAAAATGTGTTTCTCATTTGGAGCTGGTTAATTCAGATAACAAATGATAACTAAAACATTCCTTGCAGATAAACTTGGAGCCATTGCCACCGGTGAAGGCAGACTGTTTAAGGGCTGATGTCAGAGTCCCAGCATCCCAGAGTCCCAGATGTGACCAGTATGATACAGCTGGGAAGCTGACAACCTCCTTCCTCTACCCACCCAGTGCGTATCTGCCTCCGCCTGACACAGAGACTCACACTGGCTTGATTAACACACAGCCCAGAATCAATGGGATCAGTGTCTCATAATTTTCTTTTCACTTCCACAGAACTTCAGCCCTCTCATCCTCCTCTCATCACACAAGAACAGACACCTCATTACATGGACTGTAATGAGGTGTCTGTTCTTACAGTGTATTGTTTGGAGGACTTTTGCTGTTTCACTTTGTTATTCTGCCCATTGCCCAACACACACCTCTGAGTCTGACTAATGTCAGATGAGGGCTGGATTCAATCAGACACTTTATCAGGCTGATTTAGTTTTATTATTTCTTTTTTATTTTGATATGATTCACTCTAATACTTTCTACCCTATTATGTCATGGACTGTGTCACTTTGTTTTTTTATATTCCCTGAATATCTTGTTTAAAAATATATATTTAATTGGTACCGTGTCTGTGATTATCATGGACAGGATTGTCCTCGTCTCTTATTTTTCTCTTTAAATAGATTTTTAGACTCATGAGAAATGCATTTTCAGAAACAGGGACAATGTGTTTACTTCAGATTTGTCTATTGTAACATTCTTGTCATAAAGACAATCATAGCAGTTGGACTGGAACTCGAAAACCTTTAAGAGAAATCATTCATTTAAACCTTTTTACACAGGATAGTCTTACCTAGTTATACAACTAGTATTTATTGGTTTGGTAAATTCCCCTCCTTATCACATTCTTGCAGATCTGAATGCGACAGAGGAGCAGCAGTACGATGCTCTACTGATGAGTAATGTGGTGCCAATGTACCCCGAGTTTAAGAGTAAGTTACTCAGTAAAACCGCAATGCACGACATTATTGGATGTTGTAAAGAGGAGTTACAGTATGTCCTATTCAGAGCCTCATGTACCCTGACTCCTTTCCTCTCCTGTCGCAGAGGTGTGGGACTACTTCCACAGCAGCCTGTTGACGAAATATGCCTCTGTCTACAACAGCATCAACGTGGTGACGGGCCCTGTCTTTGATTACAACTACGATGGCCGGTACGACACTCGGGAGCAGATCCAGCAGTAAGTCTTGTGTCCTAGTGAGGATGCTAACATTGTCATTTCTTAAAAATGTTCTTGTATTTAGTCACATTAAAATCACACACTAATCCATATGGAATCATGTACTCATGCATGTAATAAGATATGATGCATAGCAGAGAAGTTCCCATGGTCATCATAGGGAGTATGTTATCATAAAACACCAGCCACATGATGAATCATCATGGTGATGTGAAGGTGCAGCTGCTGTGCATCCATAGCTGCTGTATCACTTGAAACAGGTGAGTTCCCGCTGGATCACTTAGAGCAACAGGATATGAAATGTTTTTCTTTTGCACATAGCAGATTTGCAGTTGGTCTTGGGTTTCCTCTCAGCTCTCACCCACCAAGTATGAGACTGCTGTCTTTCCAGACTGTATCGTGCTTCCACCAGTACATAGATAAATATATTCCAGCCTGTTACAACTCTTGACAGGATATTAAAAACTGTGCTGAAATGTTTCAATAGCTCTGCCCATTTGCTTTTCATACACATAAAAACATTATTTAAAGGTTGTTCTACTGCCAATTGAGCAGCCTCCTGAAATGTAGCGCTTCCTTTGTCACACTCAGCGGTCCAGACTCCTCTCAGTGTTATAATAAATAGATATGGAACTCAATAAATACATAAAACAGACCATCCTGCCACTTGTTGTTTACCAGGTAAATGTCTTGTTGTGAAGGCCTGTCGTAGTTATACTGGTGAGCTGTGAAAGTGACTGCATGTTTCCAAATGTGTCTGTTACCAAAATAAGGGTTGAGAAAGGGCATCTATAGAGATCAATGGGTTTATATCCACAGCCAAGTAACTCTGGTACAGTATTAACAAATACAGTGAGCTCTTAAACATCACTTTAAGTCATCACAACATTTCTGAGTGTCATTACTCCCAGTATACCCACAGTGACATTCACATACATACGTATTAGCCTACTCATGAGATCAGAAAGGCAGACAGATGTTTGGATGTTTGCTGGTAAATCCTGTTGCTGCTTAAGGAAAATAATAAATCGGAATGAAGTGTTCCCAACTGAAGCTATGCGAGTCACGTGACCCACCAGGTTTTGACCCCTGGCTGCCATCTGTACAGCTCTGACTAAATATGGAGTGTTTCTGTGTCCCCACTATCTACACTGCTTAGGAGAAATATTATTACTGAGACGCACATCATCACAAAGTGCTACAGAGCCAACTTTGACAAGGCATCAGGACAAAACTACTTTTGTGTAGACTTGTTTTTGTTCTGGGGTCCATTGTTTTCATTTGCTGAAGTGACTCAAATCTGATTTTGCCCCTTCAAGTAACTCAGATTTAATCATTTCAGTAATGTGTGACAAACCCAGGTCAGATCTGAGACATCTGCATGCTATGTGCCCCTAGATCTCCTAGCTCTGAGTCTGCCCATGCTGTCACAGAGGACAAATCAGAGTGCATGTGGTCGTTTTAACATTAACTTCCTCCTTACCTGTTACCTTGTGCTTTTATCTTTGGGACACCACTTTCGGTTTCAGCATGACACTAAATAAATACAACTTTCCTAGTGTGGCGTAGCCCAACTGGCCTGGACAGAGGCCTGCCTTCAGCCCCGCCTAACATCTGGAGGATGACTGTGAGCCAGACCTCATCGTCCCAGAATCGGTGTCGGACCGCGCTAAAGCTCTCATGTCTGAGTAGAAGCACATCCCTGCAGCTGTTCTAACATCTGCTGGTGTAGTGTTGCATGGTCAGCTCCCACGTTAGGTTTTGCTGTGTTACACTGCACTGTGGATAACCTTTGCTGTGTGGGGTTTTGTGCATTTTCAGGTTCATGTCTGGGACAAACATCTCCATCCCCACACATTACTTTGCAGTTCTGACCAGCTGCAGGGACTCAGCCCAGCCGGTGACTACCTGCAGTGGTGAGCTACAGACTGTGTCCTTCCTGCTGCCTCACAGACCCGACAACTCAGAAAGCTGCCAAGTAAGAAAACACAGCGTCACAGTTCACCTGTTCTATCTGACACTTCATAGGCAGTATTCAGTCTCTAGTCACAGTTCCCCTCCACTGGCCCACCAGCTTACACTGCTGGACAAATGAGCCGAAACTCTTGGTCTGACTCAGTATGAAACTGGCTGTCTGATGATGACTTTTCGTCTGGGTGCTCTGAACAAAGGAACCATTGTAGAGGTTAGAGAGAGATGTCTGTGCTCCACTGTGGGTTGTGTCGGTTCCTTCCCTAACAGCTTTTAACTCAGCCAGTCTTAAAATATTTCTAGGAATAAGACTAAAGACTAAAGTCCTGTGCGTGCTGAACTACTACCCCACAGTATAGATTTTTACAGATTGTGTTGCTAACAAAAGAACTAAGGTGGTGCTAGAGTTATGACCATCACCACTCCTCAGCCATGAACGACTTAATAAACTCAAATTGTTCAGAAAAGGTCCTACAAACCTCAAGAAAAGATAAACAGCATTACATCAATTATTCAGATATTACCAGTATGTAATTTTGTATTATCAGCAAAAAATATACAAGACTACAAAAACAGTGCTTGGTAGATTCTATAGTAATCCATTACATTTTCATATTTCCATCCGTTAAGCACATTTAGTAAGAATCTTTAGATTCTTTAGGTTTCATCAACAATATAAAACATTTGGAGATGATAAATAACCACTGACAGGTTCTTGGGAGTTTGGTCAATAATCTGACTGATGCTTTCTCATGGTCCAAAGTGTTAGTAAAGTGGAAAGACTGGCTTAACAGTGGCGCCAGAGGAAAGGTCACTGAAATCACACGGACTCATCCTCTGGGATCCGTGAGCTTCGACCTTTATGCTAATCTGGTGGAAGCTTTTGAATAAAGTCAACCAGAACTTGCTGAAATGTGCTGTTGGGCCGATGAGCTGTAAAAACCAGACGGTGAAGTGACAAGAGTCTTTACAATGTGCTTCTCATGCAGCAGCTCGGACAAATCCTAAGAAAAGTAACAGTCAGTCCTGGCAGCTGCTGGATTACAGCTCGAGACAAGAAAACAGCCCTGATTCGGAGACACCTCATTACACCTGTTCACTCTCCTGAAGAGCTGAGCTTTGCTCAGTCAGTTACATATATACAGTATATATATATTGTCACTTGCCATTTTGCATTGACAGAGCACAGAAGCTGAGTCTCGCTGGGTAGAAGACCACATGTGGTTTCACCAAGCACGAGTCCGAGATGTTGAGTGGATCACAGGACTGGACTTTTACCAGGGCAGCATTCGACCAACTCCAGAGCTGCTGAGGATGAAGAGCCGCCCCACTGCCGCCATCCATAGGAAACACTGAAGGATACATGTCCTCAAAACGTACAGTATGTACAGCTTTGGGAAAAAGCGACCATCGAGACTGATATTCAGTGTTTGTAAGATGCTTCATAGTTAGTCTCAGATTGCGTCACTTTGTCAGCTCTGGACTCCATCATCCAACAGCCTGACACGGTTTATTTATTCACTCTTTATTTTATAATCACATCATTTTATTTTTATGTTATTTAATCTTATATTCCTCTGGTCATAATTATTTTTTTATCTTCGTGTGTACGCCTGATCAAACAGAGAAATGAGCTTCGTCTTCCAGTTTCCTGACTCTGCTCAGCTTCAAATACTTGATCATCACAATTTTTCAGTTTAGGAAAATACTGCCCATATTTTTTAACAATTTTTGTCTTTATTATTGTGCCAAGAATTATAAAATAAAGTCATCACTAAATTCAAGAAATTTTGCTATTTAATTCTTCTCAAGTATATTTTCCCACAGCTCTGATGAGCAGCTGTGAAGTTCCATTGTTTTGGTAGCGGCAGACAAAAAAACCAAACTATGTACACAGCCGGGCACCACTAGCACTCAGTCAGAATATGTTTTAGTTATTTTGGTGAGGAGCACCACTTGCTGCAGACTATTGTTTCAGCTTCATGACTGCAGCAGACTGTTGGGACCTGAGTCGTCTTCTCAGTGAAGCAACTGGAACCCGGGCTCCCTTTAACACCTGGCCAGGTGTTTGCACTAATAGGCCGAGAACCATGCAGTTTGCAGACCTGCTCAGAGACAGCCTCTCTGAATGTGAGAATCTCTGCAAGCACATATTAGAAACGCTGAGCACGTCCCACTGTGATGTTAATGCTGCAGAGTGAACATTTTACATACTTAAAGCCAGTGTGTTTCATCTCTACAGTAATTCTGATGTCGTACTGTGGCTGACTTTTTGCAGTCTAACTCCGCAGTAGCCTTTAACTCACCAGATTTGCACATACAGTAATAAAAACCAACTGTGTCTCCTAAAAATGACACTGAGTTATAACAGCAGATATGTTTTGTAGGAAATATAAGATTAAGATTAACCTCAAGGGATGGTAACTTTCCCAGACCAGGAATTGAGCCCAGGCCGAGGCGCTGAAAGCACCAAATCCTGGCCACTAGACCACCAGGGAGTTTTACGGTGTCAGACTGCAACAGGGTGGTGAAAGTGGGTGCAGGACATACAAAGCCCAGCTGTCTCACCAAGGACCATGCTCACACCCACAGTCTCAGTTGGTTTAGCCAACACTAACTGTCAGCCACACCTGCCTCTCTTTCTTTTTTTCCTCTCCTGCTCTCCCTTTTTGCGGGATCAACGCCTCAGCTGTGTCGCATCGGGTAATTAGTGACTCGTGGGTCGGTGCGCACACCTATGTTGTCACTTTGTTGTTTTCATTCCATTAAACCACCTTTTTTTTGTACTAGCACCTGGGTCAGCCATCTCGAGTCCAACCCCAGTTCTCCCTCACCCTCCTGGTGAGGGGGACTAAACCGTAACACTAGCCCTTTTGTGTCAGAGCAGGATGTGGTGGTTCCCTCTGGGTTTCTGGCTGATGTCAGACTGTAACCATAAAAACAAATGGTTAATGCTTCATCCTACAGGTCCACAGTTTCCAAATAATATCTCAAAGGTTTCCTGAAAAGAATCATGTAGTTTGGTAATTATTGCAGAAAAACAGAGACTGTTATTTTTAGCCTACTGAGTTGTTTATTGACTTCCAGATGAACTCCATTAAAGGAGTTGCTCAGTTTAAACCTTATTTATTATTTGACATGTTATTCTTCATGAATGCTGAACTGTGTGGTGGTTTGTAAACGAAGGACCTTCTGTCCTCTGAATAAAAGCCTGGACTTTGTGCTAGCTCAGCATTTAGCAACAGGTAAGCCTGGCGCACAGGCTGAGGCTTTATTGCGCACGGCATGTCACGTGACTACAGGTGTTTATTCGAGCTCTGATCATGGAGCCCGTTAAGCCTTTATCTATTTATTAAACCATTTGCCAGCAAGAATATTTCCGTGTTACCTGGAATAAGGGACCCTCCCCTCCAGTGATTTAGCCGATGACTTTCATGTCGTGACAACTATTTGGCTGCCGTGGAACTGAAGCGTAATAACCACTAAGCCATTGTTGCTGTGTTACTGCGGCTCTCTGTAATTGGCAGCACGGACTAATTAATCAATCTCTTCCTGGCATCTTGGCACTGCTTCAAACACTGTATTTTCATTCATTCTCAAGTTGTAGTAATAAAAAGCGGATTTCTCCAAACCAGCAAGTTGTGCACACGTTCTGCCTGTCCAGGTATGACTCAGTGGCAGCAGCGGTGCTCACCCTGAGAGTCGCCCATCTCATTCATAAGCTATGACCAGAAATGGTCTTAAGGTAAATCTCCACAGAAGTGACGTAGGCGTGTGAATGCCACGTAAAACCAAAACTGGAAATGAATCACCGTCTGTGAATTCATTGCCAAACTAGTATAATCCATTAACAAACGCGCTGCAGTTCCTTCCTGCAGCAGACAGAGTAGAAGCACCTGTTGCAAAAGCATTTCGGTGTCATCTGTATCGGTTTGGTTTCTAATATATTTGCCTGTGCATTTACTTATTTCACAATCAATTTTGTATTAGTCTCTAATTTTCTTATTTATTTTGATATGAACATCAATAAATATGTTATGACTAGTGCATGGACATTCAGTAAATAAACACAAATATAATCAATAAATGGGGAAATAAAGATGGGCTTTTGTTGCATTTAAAAAAAACACAATCTTTGTTTATTAGCCAGTCATTTATTTGTTTATCCATCTTTGGTGAGTGTACATACTTGTTTTCTGTTTCCCTTTGGGCCTTCGCGTATATGAGGGCATTATATAATACCCTACATCTTCTCGGGCATGGGGATAAACGGTTGGCCCCCCGCCATCCCCACAGTCAGGTCACAGGTCCTTGGTGTTTGTTTAGGCCGTGTTGTTTCTGGCCAGAACAAACATCTTTTATAGCACTGGTTTAACAGGCTTTAATCGCACTGCATCTCGCACGCAAGCTGTGTGTGCGCAATGTCTAAAAAGGGCAACAATGACGTTTCCATTATACAGGGAGGTCAAGCGCAACAGGACAACACACGAGTAGCAGATACTGGGTATCACAGACAAGTGGCTGCTTCTTGGAATGCCGTTGAGTCAGGAGCTATTTAATTCATCCAGGTTTCCAACTAGCCTGTGTTTATTTTGGAAGATGACGCCAGAGACAGTGTATTGATTGTCAGAGAACAACTTAAGGTCAGCTGAACCTTTCCATTACATACAAAACCTTTCTAGATGTCAGCATGAGTTCCCCAGAATGTTTACTTTGAATTTATAGTTGCCATTACCGGCACTAAATTGGTTTTGCTTTAAGTGCACATGCAAGCAGCATCAATAAACTACAATGGTCACAACGTAAAGACAAAAAAAAAAAAAAAAAAAAAACACCCACTCTTGTTCCCCCTGAACTGTAATAACACCGGTGCCTCTGAGGTCAAAACTGTAACTTGTCCAGATCTTTCATCAATATCTACAAAAGTGCTCGTGTTTGTGAACCAACATGCCGAATTAAGATGGTGCCTCTGCTGGACACCTCAAACAGGCTAACATTAGCATTTAGCTTCCCACTGATCCAGCATGGCAGCGGACCAGATTACTGCTCCCAGGGTCGAGGCATGGACAGCTTCTAGAGAGGGAGAGAAAGTGTCTTTTACCAAATACTGTTTCACTACTATTTCAACATCTAATATTGAACTTGAGCCCATTTCTTCACAGTAATCTGTCAACTCATTGACTGATTGTTAGCGGATGGTGTTTCGCATCTATGTGAAAGATACAGTGCAGAGCCACACATTTAAAGATTCATATGATTAGGTTTTAATTCGGTGCAAAAATACTGTGTCTGACTTACCAGTTTTTCAAGACAGTCAAATTGAAAACTTTGTTTTCTGGGGAGCTTCTTTTAAGCCCTCTGGCTTCCACATAATGTGATCACAGCTTGAAGACTTGTCTGAAACAGCTCTTTGTTCAGGTGCCCACGCTCAGTTTTGGACAGCTTTATATTTGTATTTCCACTGACTGAGGCTTTAAATGAGGGGATTTCTTCCATAAAAATAGCCAAGTTTTGACAGGATTTCAGTTTTGGTGGCGGGGAAATTTGACTCACTTTAGCAGCCACTGGCGTTTCAAACCACAAATCTTTTTAACCAGGCTCCTTTTTCGCTCAGTGAAATTACAGTACCGTACCACAAACTGACTCATTAATAGTGAGTTTACAGAAAGGACAACAAATAACCCACATGTTTTCTTAATGTGACTGGGCCAATATACAGGCCTAGGCAACTCAGACTTTAGTAGTTCCCCCCCGAATAACACCCTTCCTGTTTTCAGAGGTCAAACTCATGCAAACTTCCCCAGATAGATCTGCAAACACTGAGACGTTGGAGTTACTCGTACAGAGAAAACTTTGAGTCAAAGTATATTTTAACAATGAAACTCTTAAGAAGCCTAACCCCAGAAGCTAAAATGCTACCTATAAGAAGTTTCCCCCCACTCAATAAATACAGTGCAGAACAGGAATAAAATGGTCAGAGTCAACAGGTTAAAAGGCACCATTAAATAAACACCACAAATCAATCGCACATCAACCAAATATAAGACGGCCTTTTCTCCCTGTGCATAAAACCATTCACACCATAAAATTGACTAAACCCTATTTGGAAACAATACAATAAATAGGGAACATAATGCTACGTAAACCTCTTAACATAAAAGCAGAACAAAGCAAGGCAAAACGTTGCATAAGCAAAACAGCAGTGGCTATCACCCCTGCAACAAGTAAAGCCACCGTTAATAAATAGCATAGAAGCCATCAAAACAATTAAAACCAACAATGCTACAGGTTACTTTGGCTGCACGTCACCCTGGCACAGCATGTGCGATGGACACCAACTTCTGCTGGATCACGCTCGCATCAATTATCGCTCCTGGAGAGCATGTGGCAATCTCCTAAAGCAGTCTACAACCAAGACAACCTGATTAAACACTTGCACTGTTAACAGATCCGATCTACAATCAGTCCGTTGGACATACCTTAAAGGAAAAGCAGGACACAGCTCGATGTAGGAAGATTCACTTCAGACCGGTTACGGCAGCGACCAGCACAGAAATTGCTTATCGCAACAGCGTCTCCCCAGGTGTTATTTATATCCATGATTATTCTGCCAAATTACTAACCAGGCGGTGTGGGCGTGGCCAACCCACCGGTTACATTAAGAAGAAATTCTTTTCATAAAATCATTTTAAATTCTTACCAAACAAAAATCATAGAAACGATGCTGCTGCTGCCATGGCAACAGACATGTACAAGTATTAAAATAATCAGCCTTAACTCCCTCAAATATCTTTTGTAATTAATTTCTCCTGGTTGCAAAAAGAAATTCCTCTTCATGCATGTCATGTTGGTTGTTGTTTATTTAAGTCCATTTCAACACCCTCCTCTTCCTACGAACATGTATAAAGTATGAGACAAGGCCCTTCTTAAAGCAGAGCGACCTCCCTCTCAGGCTTTTCTAAATGCCTTTTGAATGCAGGCTAACACCCTCGTAATCACAACAGGCTATACCGCCATCTTAGTTTAGTCTGTTAGCATGCTAACATTAGCTAACTAGCACAAAACCCAAAGTGCAGCCCAGATGGCATTGTCATTACTTGGCCATAAGAATGTAACATTTGGTGACTGTCTGATTAACTTATTGTCACACAGATATC